GGAATTTATTTAATTTCAGGCCTAATTTTCAAACTGAACATAACAGTAATGCTGCCTCATATTTCATTTATGTTTTACTTTTGATTAGTGCTCCATCTTATCAAGGATTTCTTGAATCCTAGTAATTCACCTGGTGCTGACATTTAATCAGCCATATGGTAAAAATAGTGTCTGTATAATGTAAATGATCTCTTTTTCAATCCCATAATGCATTTGTAGAATAATGGTTATGTCCCCGAGTGACTCAATGTTGTTCAACTTTTACTTTCTCAGCAGACTGTCTGTATGTGGAAGCGGCTGAAAGTGTTGACGGATGTTGTAAAAAGAGCAGCAGACAATGGTAGCACTGACCTTTGAAGTGACCTTTACTGTGTGTGGTCAGTCTGGCTGTACATTCATAATTTTAAATAAATCATTTTAAATAACAATGAGTTTAAACTTCTTCATCGCCCCCACACTATGTCTACAGATGTTCTCAATGTTCTCACTACATTCACTTTGTGAACATGGAGCAGAGATTTCCTCCTACAGTCTTTATTTGTGGCAATGGACCGTGAAAACATAGAATTACCTTAGCATTGTAACACTAAATATACATATATAAATGCTTAAAAGTCAATTAAAATAAGTAGAGAAAATAAACACAAAAACAACACAATTGTCAGTACAGTTAGAGACAATTAAGATACTGTATATGTTAAGAACTTTGAACCACTTCACTACACCTGGCAATTCAAGCAGGTATGTGCATGTGTGTGTGTATGTGTGTGTGTGCTCTGTCATGCACACTGCCAGGTCAGTTGAACCCTGCCGCTGCTTGAGGAAGAGAGTAAACTCCACAATTAATGCCTTCACAGCAGGAGGGACGGAGACAAGGGCAGCACCAGCAGAAACCAGGACTCATTACTGTACCTTCCCATCACTGCACAGCTGAGTGGACACGACTAAAGGGCAGCCACAGAGAGATGGGTGGATTTCTTTCATCTGGACCAAGTTAATTAAAAATTGAATTAAATATAAAAAATGAAGTAAGAAGGAAGTTTTTAGATGAAAAGTAAACAAATGTATTCCAGTTTACTTTTCTCTTTAGAGGTATCTGTCACCTTAGAAGGAAAACGCAGAATTTCTCACTTAGCATTAGCATTATCTTTTTTAGGAACACCCTGCTCTTAGATACAACATATGTCTGTTTTAACTGTTGGACATCAAATCTAATTTACTATTAGGTAAGAACAGAGATTTAATATTTTCATCTGCACCGTATCGCTTTCTAACCTTTCCAACATAACTGTGATTGTTTTGATTTGCCGAAAAGCATACACAGAGGCCGGTGACAAAATTGCTGCCCTTGGGCTGACACTGTAATGATTGAACACAGCCTAACAATCTATGAGCCATCGTGAGAATTTGCATTCATCACTCAGACATTTTCATACGTCATCGGGGAAATGCATAAAACATACTTCTACGTCGTGAAGATGGATGTGTGTCATAATAAGAAGCACGGTGATAATATATGTTACAGCGAGTGATCTATCACACACATCGCTAATCTTCCTCCTTTTTTCCCACGACGATCAATAATCAGAAATTATCACATGACTGCACGTCATCACATCACTTGTGGTGGGAACATAAAAAAAGTATTTTACGCCCACAGACATACGCAATAGCTGAGTGGGAGTCAGTTCCACAAAATTGCTGTCATTTATTTTGTTTTTTCCCAGTGGAGCCCGGAGCTACCGTTAGGTCCAGGGGGAGATCATTAAATTAAAATAATATAAAAGTTTGTACTTCCCAGCTGAGCAAAAATATTGCTGCTGCTGCTTCTGCTTTCATTTAAATTGGTTTCTCGCCTCTTATTACCCTGAACTGGTAATGTTGATTTTGAAGTTTATGGATTTCCACGGACAGTTAGCACCTCCAGGTACAGGCAGAGCCACGGACTAACAAGTGAAAACTGAAGCAAGAGGAATGATCACGAAGGGCTCATAAAAAGGAGTCCTGCAAGGCCCTCTGGGTTGTGAGAAGTTAGTATGAGAATTTAAACTACAGCTATGGTAGGGAGTGTGGTAATAAGGTGTGTAACCAGGAGAAAAATAGAAAGGATAGTCAGTGTGTAGTCAAAATGACAGATGGGTTCAAGGTAGAGGTGGAAAAGAACAATATAATTATATAGCTGCTATATATACATGCAAGTATATATGTATAATAATAACAGTTATATAAAGACAATGGTATAAATATATACATATATAAAATACAAAAATGTAACTATAGTAATTTGTAGAAGTGAACACTGACAATTTTTGACTCCGTGGTCTTGATGTTTTTCTTTCTCTTTTTCCTGTTTTCTCACCATCCGTGCAGTGTATGGCTCTAATCTACATTTCTGTGCATCAAGTGTCTGAATCTGATTGGTGTATGGGAACCAGGGCTTGAAGCTGTTTCCCATGGAAGACGGGGAAGCATAACAGGCAGTAGAAGTGCTCATGTGTATGTTGTGTAATGTGATTAGTTATTGCATGTTCCTGTGTTTGCTCAGACTGGTGCTCCGCTGTCAGACAGCGAGATTATGGGAGGAACAGATTAGAGAATGCACCAACATAGGCATTTTTTACTTATAGCATAGGGAATTTATTTAATTTCAGGCCTAATTATCCACTATAGAATAGTGGATAATTAGCATAAAGCACACGGACGTGACTGTGAAGCCCGTAGCATAGACGTCCGTCTCGTCTCACTGCCCACTTGACTCGGTGAAATCCTGTTCAGGTTTCCTGTAGACATTAAACCTACTGTAAACCTTGCTGTGTGCGTTTACATGAAATGACGTGACAATGATTTGAGGCTATACGCTGGGGACGCTTTTTTAAAAATACACCCATGTCATCCTCCGATGTCAGGAAGTGGAGTCGCAGCGTAAAGGAGCATTTGTCTCTCTCCTAATGGGGGCCTGTAAATCTGCCCCGTTTTTCCACTGACATGTTGCAGCTGGAAGGAAAAGTTCTTCAAACACAGGAAGCGAAAAACACAAAGCTCGACTTTCCTTTAGAACAGCGTCAAGATGAAGTATTCCAAGCTCTGAGGCACATCATTCAGAGCTGTTCATAGGAAAACATCAGGAGAAAAGGTCATATTGGCAGTGAGATGAATGGAAGTGTGAAATGTCCAATCTGACTGTGTCTTTCTGTCTGATAATGACGAGACAGGCAGCAGTTGATGAAGGTTTTTTCCTTGTGGTAAATAAGTAAGTTTATTCTTTTCTTTCAATTACAAATTGCTTAAGTTAAGAATAAATAAAAAAATAGTACTAGCTGTTCGTATATATATATATATATAAAATATATGTAATATTATTTGGTATTATTATTAAATAATACTTAGTTTTCCTAAATAAAGGAAGTCCTTGACTTATGTTGGAATTCAGTTTCTAATGCACAATGATTTTGGCAAAAATCTGAACTCCTACTTTCCTCCTACATGTCACAATGAATCACATATTGCCATTAAACTGACACACCAGTTCACTTATCAGTTGACGACATGAGCTTTTCTAAATCTTAATATTTAAAAAGAAAGTAAATGCAGCGTTCATAAGCCCACGCAGTTATTTATGCGTGCCATGTCCTAACATTCATTATGCAAAGTCTTATCTGCAGCGTGTGCAAAACAAAGCCGGATAATGGTGCCGTCGTTTCAAAATGAGAAAACATATTATGAAAATGAGGGAAGACAATCAACAGAGCTGTAAATATTTAGACCCAATGTCTTCATGTGCATATACCACATGGTTGTATAGATTTACCCTAATTATTGAAAATGCTGCTGTAAAGCAAAACTTCGTGATGATGAAACTAAACGTGCTGTGAATGATGGAAAAATCATGAAAAATATCATCCGTCTGCTGCTGCTGCTGCTTACAAATCAGCTTCACTCTTTCAACTCCTCCCAAAGATTCAACCTGAACTCGCATTTCCATATCAGGCACAAAGACGCCAGGAGGCAACAGGAAGGGCTACACTTTCAGATGAGTGAACCTGCAGCGATTTACGACTGAACTCTGACAGCTGCTGTTGCCTGTTTAAAATAATTTCTCCACTGATTTCCTTAATGCAGTTTTATGTTATTATAATAGCCTCTTTATTTATTGTCGGCATCGCATAGTGGTCAACAGTCTTTGAGACGTGGAAGAAAAAGATGAACACATCTGAATGGAGTTGATGTATTATCACTACAGTGTTGCGTCAGACTGCTGTGTGGTTCTGTTTGTTACAGTACTGTCTGTTGTTTATACAAACGGCTCCCACAGGTGCAGTGGCTTCTATGACCGCAATACTCCATCAAAACTATGTCAATTGGACATAAAATAATCAAAATCATGTGACTCACAATGTGATCATAATATTTTCATATAATTGAGGCCTGACACAGCCATCTACTATATAATATATTCCTCTTTCATGGCAAATTAAAGTCCATTCCAGAGACGGTGGAGACGTTCTGAAGTGCGGAATGACAGTCGGTTCATGAATGAACATGAGCCTCGTGCACGCCTCGGTAATATGATGT